CTTTTAGTTGTTTCCTTCAAGTTGTTCAGGATCCTGGTTCACTATAAAAACTGGTTAAACTTAGCTGGTTTTTTTCTGGCCTTGCTGGACAGGCTGTTTAAGCTTTACTAGTTCTTTTGTTATATCCTTTCTGTGCTTTTCTATGTCTTTCTGTTAAACTTTGGTCTATGGTTTTTCGGTAGAAAGTTTTACTTCCTACCTTGCTGCATTAGAATCCATCGCTGTTTCCCATGTCACACAACAGAGCTTGGAAAGTGCTGAATTGGAATGTTAGAGGCATAAATTCTGATAAAAAGTGGAACTCCATCAGGGATAAGATAGTAGAAAGCAAGAGTGAAATTGTATGCCTACAAGAGACTAAAAGGGATAACTTTGATGCCAATTTCATCAGCAATATTTGCCCCCCTGATTTTGATTCCTTTGAGTACCTTCCCTCAGTGGGAGCTTCAAGGGGAATCCTAGTGGTTTGGAAGGGCAATGCCTTTTGGGGGAATATGGTATTCAGCAACAGATTTGCTCTTTCCTTGGAATTCACTTCCAAGCTCAACAATGAAACTTGGCTTCTGACTACCATTTATGCCCCTTGCACAACAGTAGGCAAAAGGGAATTCTTGGAATGGTTTAGGGATATTCAAATGCCTCCTGAAACTGACTGGCTCATTGTTGGTGATTTTAACTTGATTAGAAGACCTGAGGACAGGAATAGGGAAGGGGCTAATCCCAATGAAATGTTCTTATTTAATGAAGCCATCAACAGTTTGGGTTTGATTGAGTTACCACTGCATGGTAGGCAGTTTACTTGGACAAACAAGCAATTCCCTCCACTTTTGGAAAGATTAGATTGGTTTTTCACTTCAACCTCATGGACTTTCAAATTCCTAAATACCTTGGTCAAAACTTTGGTCATAGAAACCTCTGACCACTGGCCTTGCATAGTTGAAATCAGCACAACAATTCCACAGAGTAAGATGTTCAGATTTGAGAATTACTGGCTTAACCATGAGGACTTCATACCTGCAGTCATCTATCAGTGGATGGAATGGTCCAAATCATATTTCAGATCCTGCTAAGCTCGTAGCAGCCAAGTTTAAAAACCTAAGAAGAGTGCTCAAGGATTGAAGATTAAAACTACCAAAGCTCTCTTTAGCTATTGAGAAAATTAAACTTGTGCTCCATTTTTTGGAATCTATTGAGTTGTTCAGGGACCTATCCTTACCTGAATGGAATTTTAGAAACATAGTCTCTGAGAAGCTAATCTACTTACTGAAACAGTAAAGAACTTACTAGAAGCAGAGGGGTAAGATCAGATGGGTGAAAGATGGTGATGCAGGCACAAAAAAATTTCATGCTCATGCAACAATCAGACACAGGAAGAACAACATCACCACTTTAAAACATACCATGGGGAATGCCTTTCATGGGCATGAGCCAAAAGCTGAGCTTCTTTGGAATTCTTTCAAAGATAGAATGGGTCAGTCTGAGTTTAACCAGATGATATTCAGCCTTGATCAGTTCCTGCAGCCAGCTGAGGGCCTTGAGAATTTAGAGATGCCCTTCTCTAAGAATGAAATTGATACAGTGGTGGCCAACCTCCCAAATAAAAAATCCCCAGGTCCAGATGGATATAGCAATGAATTTGTAAAGGGATGCTGTCCTCTTATAGCACCTGGCTTCTACAGACTATGTGATGAATTTCACAGGGGATGTCTGCCTGAGGAGCATCAACAATTCTTACATTGTGCTAATCCCAAAAAAGGATGGTCCTCAGAGTGTCTCTGACTATAGGCCAATTTCTTTGCTTAACTCCTCCATCAAGTTGATAACCAAATTACTGGCCAACAGATTACAACAACCTATCATGAGTCTTATTCACTAGAACCGGTATGGATTCATAAAAACCAGGACCATCCAGGACTGCTTGGCTTGGGCACTTGAGTACATACATGTGTGCCACAAATCTAAGAGGGACCTAATCATCTTAAAGCTTGACTTTGAAAAAGCTTTTGACAAGATTGAACATGAAGCAATTCTGGAGATCCTTAAGGCAAAGGGGTTTGGTCAGAAATGGATCAGTTGGGTAAAGTCAATTTTGAGTTCTGGAACTTCCTCAGTGTTGCTTAATAGAATCCTTGGTAAAGTGTTTCATTGTAAAAGAGGTGTTAGACAGGGGGACCCATTGTCCCCACTACTGTTTGTGCTCACTGCTGACCTCTTGCAATCAGTGATCAATAAGGCTAAAGACCAAGGGATATTAAAATTGCTAATTCCATTAAGGTATGCAGATGACTTCCCAATTGTGCAGTATGCTAATGAAACTCTTTTGATAATGGAAGCTTGCAGCAAGCAGCTTTTAGCCTTAAAAGCTCTTCTGCACACCTTTGGTGAGTCAACTGGGCTCAAAGTCAATTATTTTAAATCATTCATGGTTCCTATCAATACAAACCATTCAAAACTTTAACACCTAGCAAGAACCTTCTGCTGTGAAACTGGAAGTCTGCCCTTCACCTATCTAGGACTGCCCCTGAGTCTCACAAAGCCTAGAGTAATTGATTTCTCCCCTTTAGTTTCCAGATGTGAGAGGAGACTAGCTGCAACTTCGATTTTTTTGAATCAAGCTGGGAGACTAGAGGTGACCAACTCAATCTTGACTGCAATGCCAACTTTTTGTATGAGTACTTTTCTGCTTCAGCAATCAGTGATTGAGCAAATAGACAAATTAAGGAAATTATGCCGTTGGAGAGGGGCTGGCATCAATGTCAAACAGAAACCAAAAGCAGCTTGGCCATCAGTTTGCAGAGAAAAGAATGAGGGTGGGCTCGGAGTATTGAGCATTAAAACCCAAAATGAGGCTCTCTTGATTAAGCATCTTCACAATTTCTTTAATAGAGACAACACCCCTTGGGTCTCTCTAGTCTGGGAACAGTATTATGATTCTGGGAAGTTGCCTGGGAGTACTAAAAAATGTTCATATATTTGGAAAATCATGCTTTCTTTGGCAGGACATGTGGGGCAAAGAAATCCTTTCCCAAAAATTCCCAGAGCTATTTTCCTTTGCCAAGAAAAAGCATATTGTGTTTGCTGAAGGTCATGCTCAGCTACCATTGCATAGCCTCTTCCATCTCCCCCTGTCTGAACAAGCACATGACCAGATGCTGCAGCTTCAAATGTTACTGGAAGAAGTCAATGTAAATGAGGACTCAGACAGATGGATCTATATTTGGAATTCAAGCAAATTCTCAGTGAAGAAAACTTATAAGCATCTAAGTGGCCACATAATCCCCCATCCTGACTTCAAATGGCTCTGGGCCTGTTCTTGCCAGAGTAAGCACAAGGTTTTTTTCTGGCTTCTTTTAAAGGACCGCCTAAGTACAAGAGAGTTACTCAGAAGGAAGAGAATGATTTTGCAAGATTATAATTGCGTCCTATGCAATGCTACTGTGGAGGAATCTCTGAATCACTTATTCTTAGACTGCCCTTTTGCTGCACAATGCTGGGCAATGATCAATGTTCAGGTTAGTCAACAGCTGAACCCCTTCCAGAACCTGCAAAGCTTCAAAGTTCAACTGGGGGTGCCTTTCTTCATAGAGATCATCATACTGATGTGCTGGGCAATTTGGAAGGCAAGAAATGACCTGATCTTTCGGCAAGAAAATCCAAGTATCCTACTTGCTAAGAGAAATTTCAGGGAGGAATTTCAGCTCTTACTTCTAAGGGCGAAAAGGAGTTACTACCCACGTATTGAACAATGGATTGTCAATCTAGCGTAGCCAGGTTTCTAGCAGTGCTTGTACTGCTATTTCTTGTAATTTTTTTTGTCTCTTAGGCTAACCTTATGCCTTTGCCTTTGTTCTTACCCTTTCCTTGTTGTTTTATTTTTGTTTTTGTTTTAAGAGACCGTAGCTCTGTATCTTATTCTTTTGTTTAATGCATTGCTGTAGGGGTGCAAACCCCTCCAGTTCTTTTCAAAAAAAAAAAAAAAATACTAACCTTGGAGCACCTAGGACAGATGGGTTCCTCCAAATTTTTGAAGCCTCTCGAGTCTTAACACCAAGTAGCCACCCACAAACTGCCACTATTGAGTAAACACAGAGGGAACAAACAGAGCTGCTCTCTGTTTTCCTCAAGCTCACGGAATATGACAATAGCCCTATTCATAATGTCAAAAAAAATCCCTACTACTTAGTGGGCGAAACAGTGGCGATACACCACTGCTAATTTATCCAAGACACCAGGAACCACACTCCACTTATCACTGTCTCACTTCCAGTTTGTAACACACACGAACCGGCTATGATGACGGGTGTCGTCCTGTCGTTATTTACTCAAGCCACAAACTACAGTATTGAGAAGGATCGTTTGTTAAATCAATTAAAAGGGACATAAAGCCAGTACTTTGATTCAAATAATCCACATAAAAAACAATGATCTTGTTTTGGTTACTTTCTTGTTTGAATCAATGCAGTGGATGAAATACGGGAATCAATAATGAAATCAAATTGGGTTAGTTTATGGTATGTGTTACTTTCTTGTTTTGCTAGCAGATTCGCTGATTGTCCCTGAATCAATGCCGTGGATGAGTTGCAGGTCGATTCTACCTACTGACGGATCACGAAAAAACACAGTATATGATCTTTCGTCTATCATGCATTCCTGAATTCAGTTTAAACGTTAGTTTGGATGCAGAAATAAAGTGTGTTTCTAGTGTGCACTTTTGTGTTCCTACTGTACAAGTTGAACTGAAGTGTAGTCGACTCTTTTTTGTTTCTTTCACAAAACAAACATTAACATTTTCTTTACACCAACAAATTACTCCATGTTACAATGTCATTCCCACATAGACATCCAAACGAAAAGAGAAGACATGCATGCATCTCCGGATCATTTCCACAACTGCAACGCCAACATCTGTGATGCACTGAAACCTTGAATGCTTTGTTTCCACACTAACCAACACATGAAACGGACAAGACCACCAGAGACTCGGCGGTAAAGAAAGACCTTCAACTTTGGACAGGAACATCATGCAGAGTCGCCACAAGGTGCAGCTGGTTGCGTCTCCTGGCTGTCCCGCCAACTATCGTCTCCATGTCGAGCTCCTCCGGCCGCATCGTCCCCGGCAGGCTCCAATCAAAGTAATAGAGGAGGCGCGCCACGACGAGCTCCAGCGTGGCCATCCCGAACGCCGAGCCAGGGCACATCCTCCTCCCGCTGCCAAACGGCAGGTACTGAAACTCCGTGCCCTGATAGTCAGCCACACTGCTCTCGAACCTCGTCGGCCTGAACTCCTCGGCGTCGTCGCCCCAGTACTCGGGCTTCTCGCCATCGCCCACGCGTTGATCATCACCCTAGAACCTTCGGTGACCTCAAAGCCGCCGATGTCGCAGGTCTTCCGGCAGAGACGGGGCAGGAGGAGGGGGACGGACGGGTGAAGCCTCAGTGTCTCCTTGATCACCAGCCTCGTGTAGTGTAGCGCGTCCATGTGAGACTCGTGGTGCTGTGGGATGATGTTGTTGAAGGCTGTCCGAACCTCTGCCTGTGCCTTCGCCATGGATTCTGGATGTCTGATTAGCTCTGACATGACCCACTCGGCAGTGGACGAAATTGTCTCTGTCCCTGCTATGAATAAATCCTACACATACATAATTGATAGAAAAACAAACAGCAATCAAAATAATAATTTTGCTGGAAAAAATATTTTGATCAGCTACCCCCTATTTTTTATTGACCCTGCGCCCCCGCTCTCCCTCTCTTCTTCCCATCTCTAGCGACCTTAGAAAAAAGGCAGGCCAGGCAGCGGCGACAGGAGAGACGGCGGCTAGGCGGAGGTAGCGGTGACCCCGCCGGAGTGGGCAGTGGATGGTGATCCTCTTGCTGCTTGGAGAAAAAACAGAGCAGGACTTAGACTTACCACTATGATGGCCTTGATGTTTGCGTTGCCGAAGGGGAAGGCGAACTCCTCGTTGTCCCGGACCCTCAGCATGATGCTCAGAAGATTATCTCCTGCAGCTGCAGACTCATCCTTCCACCTCGCCTCGCACTCCTCGATGATCTTGTCGAACAGCTCATCCAGCTGCCGGTGCGCCCTCCACAGCCGGCGTATCGTCCCGGTCAGGACGTCCACGAACCACAGCGACGGGAAGAGGTCCGAGACGCTGAAACCCGAGGCGTGGCTCAGCACCACAGCCATCGCCGACAGGAACTGCTCCTTGCGCTCGCCGCTGCAGCCGTCGCCGAAGGTCGCCAGCCCCGTGATGGAGTTGGTGCACGACACCAGCAGCTTGCCGAGGTTAAAAGTAGCAGCTTCCTCCCCATCACCGTCGGCGGCGGCGGCGGCGCGGATCTCGGCGACCAGGGACATGGTCTCGCTGTCCCTGATGGGCGCGAAGTGCCTGACCTTGCGCGCGCTGAGGAGCTCGAGCACGCAGAGCTTGCGCAGCGCGCGCCAGTAGTCGCCGTAGGGCGCGAAGGCGAGGTCAAGGTGGCCGTAGCAGATGATCTCCGAGGCGACGAGGCTCGGCCGCGACGCGAAGCTGAGGTCGTTGCCCTGGAGAACCTCCTGCGCCGCGGCGGGGGGAGGAGATCACCACGGTGTCCACCTGCCCCAGCCGCAGGAGCATCACCGGCCCGTGCCTCTCGGCGAGGTCCCAGAGTGCGGCCTGTGGCTGCGAGGTGAGCATGTGGTGGATGCTGCCCACCAAGGGGAACGCCCGTGGACCTGGTGGCCGCCTCTTCTTGGAGCTGGAGTTGGAGTTGGCTCTCAAGGATGATACAAGGATCAGCAGTGGCACGAGGAACAGGAAGATGGTCAGGGCGGAGGTTCCGCTTATCTCCATGATTGCTGAATAGGAGGATCACACAAACTGTGGCGTCCTTCACGGCTTCACATTTCTTGGAGAAGAACCTCTCGTAGGCGTACGAGTTGACTCAGCCTTATCGTTTCGGCTGGATCGCTCATACGTGGCTTATAATCCATGGTTTGAATAGTATTTTTCTCTTACACTAAACCAGCTAGCAGTACTTTCAGTCATGACTTATAAGTCAATTCAGTCGAAACGAACAGTGAATTACTATTAGATGCGTACTCCACTAGATGCAGCTGGCCCAGTTGCACTTCCGAACTGCTTGATGGAAAATTATTTCGTAATAAAAGTTGTAGCAGTTGATGCTCTCTCGTAAAATAACAACCATCATTGAACATCTGTTAGAGAATCGCTACACAACGACCGGTTTTGCCTCCCTCCAACAACCGGTTGTTTTGCCTCTCTTCAGCATGCGATTTTCCTACTCCCTCCGCGGCACGCCCTGGGCCATCCGCTGCTCCCTCCGTCGTCGCCTCTAGGCCGGCCGCTGCTCCCTCCGCCACCCAGGCCTTGCCTCATCCCGATGGCGTGGGCTCGGACGCTTCCCCTGATCCGGCTCCGGCGGCCCCTTCTCCGCAGCCGGCCATCGAGCGACATTTGTGAACAATTTGATATATATTTCTCTAATATCTATAATTCATAAAAATAATTCATATTTTTTCTAAAAATTTGGCATATATTTGTATGCGAAATAAAAGTTATGTTATCCATAAATTACACCACTCTGTCTAATAAATTACATTGAAAAAATGATTATAAATATAGTAATAAGATATTTGTAACTATAGTTAAAAGGTATCGTAAATGCATGGGCAAAAATCAAGTGGCAGGAGTGACCAAAACATTCGGTTGTTGTCTAGACAGATCCTATAGCAAAACTATACTGCAACTAAGAAGTAGAAAAGGTGTTCGATCATAGGTCCTGCAGGACACCAAGCATGGCGCGGCGCGGCCTGCACATGGCCTCAAGAGGAGCCGCCCTCGGCAGCATGAGCCCGCCTGCCCCTTCGGCCATGTCAACCTGGGCGGCGCCGACCCTGTCCCAGTCGAAGCACTGGATGAGGGTCCCCAGAACCAAGCCCAGCGTCCGCAGCGCGAGCGTCTCGCCGGGGCACTTGCGCCTTCCCATGCCGAACGGGATCATGAGCTCCTCTGCCTCTGCCGTCGCGGCTCCGCCTCCGCCCCCCTCGAACCGCTCCGGCCTGAACGCGCCCCGGTCCGCCCACGCCGTCGGGTCCCTGTGGATGGCGTAGGCGTTCACGAGCAGCATCGTCCCTCGCGGGACGTGGTGGTCGCCGACCGAGCAGTCTACGGTGGACTCGTGCGGGACCAGCAGCGGCACGGCGGGGTACAGCCGGAGGGACTCGATGATAATGCACTGCAGGTAGCCGAGGCGCGGCACGTCGGCGGCGCTGAGCAGGCGGGAGCTCCCCACGGAGGCGTCTATCTCCGCCTGCGCTTTCTTCAGGACCTCCGGGTGGTTTAGCAGCAGGGACATGGCCCATTCCGCCGCCGTCGCTGTCGTCTCCGTCCCGGCACTGAACATGCTCTGCAAATCAGCATGGCAGAGGTCAGAGGATGACTCGATCGACGCTCATGTCGGTCAGGAAGAAACGGCAAGCGTGACAATGACAAGAAGACGGAAGCACTGACGGAGCACAGAGACATGATCACGGTGTCAGTGTATATCTCCGGCCCTGACTTCTGCAACGAGAGCAGCACGGCGATCATGCTCTCCTCTTCGCCCTCGCGGCGGCCGTCGTCAAGCTCAAGCCTCCGCCGCTCGGCGCCGACGAGCCCCTGCAGGAACGCGTCTCTTCTCCTTACGGCGGCCATGATCTTTCTCTTCACCCCGAACACGTCGAACCGCCGCAGCAACGGGAAATAGTCCCACGTGTTGGCCGCGCCGACCAGCGACGCCATGACGTCGAGCATTTGCTTGAACTCGTTAGCCTCCGGCGTCATGTCCGCGTCCACGTCAGCGTCGTCCTCCTCGCGCGACGTCCTATTACTGGTCCGCGCGATGGTCTCCATCACGGCGCCGAGGATGAGGCCGAACAGCCTCCGCTTGAGCTCCACCCTCGCGGCGCCACTGGGGGCCGCTGCGGCGGCACGGTGCATCCTGCGCACCGCCGCGCGCACCTCGGCGGCGACGGCGCCGGACATCATGCGGCCGACGCGGCGCGCAGACAGGAGGTGCACCGTGGCCACGCGCCGGAGGTCGCGCCAGTAGGCGCCGTACGTGCACGTCGGGAGCGTGGTGCCGCCGAAGGTGACGAGGTCCAGCGCGGCGAACCGCGGGCAGGTCGCGAAGCACAGGTCGTGCTCGGTGAAGCACTCCCTGGCGCGCGCCGCGGAGGTGACCACCGTGGCGTCTCGCGAGCCCAGGCGGAGGGAGAGCACCTTCGGGCCGTGCCGCGCGGCGAGGCGCCCCAGCACCGCGTGGACCGGTTCTGGAGGAGGTGGAGGTGGCCGAGGACCCGGAGGGAGGGCAGGCTCGGTGGTTTGTTCTTGCCATTGATCTTGCTGCTGCGACGGCGACCAAGGACAAGGAGGACGTTGAGTGAGACAACGGCGAGGAAGGAGAGGACGACGACGGCGACGTAGGGCGTCACCATGTTGACGGAACTGGGAGTGAGGCGGCCTCGACTCGGCTATGGTAGCCCAGTAGACTTTCATGGAATCAGATTATCAGAGCCTTAAAACAAAGAGTCTGTCCACTCAACAACTATGTGTTTCAGCAAAAAGTAGCACATGGTTGTTTGCTAGCTATAAAACACATAATTTGTAACGGAGAAAAAACCATGTATTTTAGCACGAGCTAGCACATGGTTGTTGGTTGCTTGTATAACACATGATTTCCAAGAGAGAAGAAACCATGTATTTTAGCACAAGGTAGCACATATGTTTTTAAAGAAGGTCCACTTAGAGGAAATCTGTTATAATTTCTGTACAACCAAAGTTGGCCTATTAACTAAAATGACATAATGGCCCATTTAACAGCAGCAGCCCATAAGAGAAGCCCAAAACCATGAATACATAGGAATAAATTACAAATTGACCCATTTAATAGTAGCAGCCCATAACAAAAGTCCAAAACTATGAATACATAGGAATATAAAGACTTGGGAGAGAAGCCAACCAGAAATAGATCTGCGTGGGGAAAGCCTCTGGTCTGCTCACGTAGGGCAGGGAAAAGGGGGAGACATCAGATTGCAAAGAAGAACAGAAAATTTCAAGAAGAAGAACTAGAAGACTGATCCATACATCATCAGCAAAGGTTAGTATCCTAATCTTTTGAATCTACTTTCTGAAAAAGCAACAAAAAACAATAGCAACTTAGATCAAAGACTAGAAGAATGTAGATCCATGGGAAACTAGTGCTGAATCTCTGTGTGTGAGGCATGAAACGAGACAACGACATGAGTGTGATAGAGACCTCTCCTGACTCTTTTTGAGAGTCTGTCTCCTGACTGACTAGTGCTGAATCAGATGGCCATGCATGCATTACCCATTAGCACTACAATTAGTGGTAGCCAGGCACATCAACAAGCCACTCTAAATCATGTCCCTATTCATCAGAGAACTACTAGCTAGCTAGCTCTAGTTGCATAAGAGATGAAAAATTGCAACTAAGGTACTGGTGCACACCTGAAAACTGAACAAGCAACTCCTTAGGAAAATTGAAGATGCAGAGCAGTAGCTTCTAGAACTCAGGGCAAAACTAAAAACAGCAGCCAAGCTGCTGCTGGGACTGCTGTGTTGTTCCTGCACAAGACAAGCATAGCCACACCACTCAGCAATCCTCAACTAATCCTCAACTAAAATTACAAATATATCTCTTATGCATTTGCTATATTACTATTGTAATTAAATTACAGAACAAAAATAAGGAAATTGCACATTTGACATAGTGCAACTTGTACTTGCTGCTAATGCAATTATACTATACATGTATACAATTTAAAGATCCGGCTCATGCAACTTGTACACGCAAAGCAGGGCAAAGGGGCAGAGATCAGATCAAAAGGAACCACAAACCATTTGAATCCAATCTCCTTGTGTGTGTTAGATGCATGGAATATGTAATGATGAGAAACCTTCTAACTGTCAAAACATAAAATCTGGATGTTATAACAAAACATGAATCTAGAAAGAAGAACAAGTCAGCAGGAAATGTCAGAGGCACAATATCAGTTTCAGAATTATGAGGAAATGATTCACCAAGAAGAAAGCAACAATGATGTAAAATTACTCCTAATTTAAAACAGTTGACACAAACAATAAATAAATGAGAACTAATGGCTTCTTCGTTTTCTTGTAGGTTTCAATTGCTTCCCTTATGCAACTAATACAAGCACCAGTCAAGTTTGATCAACTACTTGAGGTAAGAAACACAATTCAATGATGCAATGAAAAGAAGAAGAATCTGATAAAAAGCTATATAAGTACTCAGCTGCTTACTTTTTTTTATGAAGCAGAATAATATGTATGTCACAACAAGTAGATGTGATGATTATCCAACATCAGTGAAGTCACAAGAAGCAATTAAGGAAGTGCAGTCAGCTCCTTACCAAATATTTACAGGCACAAATTGTTCCAGTGACCTTTCAAATACCTACAGATACAAAAAGGTGAGCAAAATTATTGCTTAGAATCAAAAAATACCAATATAAAAAGGTTGTTTTTTGACTAAAATATATTTTAATGCAGGGAGGCTACACTGAACTAATGATGGAACAGATCAGGAACTCTTAGGAAGATAATCAGACTGACTGGAATACATAGGTAAAATTTATAATAATAGTACACAAAAATTACAATTCAGACATATGCAAATTACACACATGTACAATGTAATTTCAGCATAACAGTACTTTAATTTTAATGCTTCATTATAAACTGTGCAGTGACATGAAGAGATGCAAGGATCATTAACAAAGATGATACTTGGAAATGACAGGAATGAGGTA